CCACATTTCATTTTGCTTCGTAAAGGGTTAATACAGTAGAATAATTTGTCGTTTTCTTACTTCATTTGCTAAAATGAAAATTTAAAAACTAAAAAGACATCATAGAACAAAAATTTCGTAATATATATTTTTATCATAAATAAAATAAAATATACAAGTCAAAATATATATTTTATTTTATTGTAGACAAAATTAAAAACTACATTGTTCTTGTTAAACAGATTTTGAATTTTGCAAGTCAAAGTTACATCGTTATTGTTTAACAAATTTTGAATTTAACCAAACTTTTTTTTAGTTTTCTTTTTCCTCTTTTAATTCTGATTTGAGATGTTGACGTGTTTGTTTGGTCACTTTACACTCAGATATACTAACATCGGTAATCTCTCTCACTATTACAGAGGACAAGAGAAACAGAAGTGCAAAAATCATAGGGTCGAGTATTGGAGTGAGCATTTTTCTTATTTTAATTTTCACCATCTTCTTCTTTTGGAGAAGGAAGCAGAAGCGATCAATAGCAATTGAAACACCTATTGGTAAATCCATATCTTTAATTTTTTTGTCTGTAAATTTCGATAATCATTTATTGAGTTTTTGTGTGTGTCTAAATGAAACAGTTGATCAAGTAAGAAGCCATGATTTATTAATGAACGAAGTGGTAATATCAAGTAGGAGACACATATCTAGAGATTACAATACAGAGGATCTAGAGCTTCCATTGATGGACTTTGAAGCTGTTGCCATTGCTACTAACAATTTTTCTAACGCCAACAAACTCGGCCAAGGTGGTTTCGGTATAGTTTACAAGGTACATATGATTGAATAATTTTTTTACTTTCAAATCTATCATTGGAAAAGATTTCATTGTGTAATGAAGTGTGTGTTAGTAGGGACGGTTACTTGACGGGCAAGAAATCGCGGTCAAGAGATTATCGAAAACGTCACTTCAAGGGATTGATGAGTTCAAGAACGAGGTTAAACTGATCGCTAGGCTTCAGCACATAAACCTTGTTCAGCTTCTTGGTTGTTGCGTCGATGAGGGCGAAAAAATGTTGATCTATGAGTACTTGGAGAATTTAAGCCTCAATTCTCATCTCTTTGGTTAGTGCCTCAAATTTTTACAGTTTTGTTCTAAGAATTGTGTTTATTTTGAAATAAGTGTTAACATTTTTTCGGTTGTGATCGATTTGTAGACAAAACTCGAAGTCGCAACCTAAATTGGCAAATGAGATTTGGTATTATTAATGGTATTGCTCGAGGACTTTTATATCTTCACCAAGATTCGCGGTTTAGGATTATCCATAGAGACTTGAAAGCAAGTAACATATTGCTTGATAAAGATATGACTCCAAAGATCTCGGATTTCGGGATGGCTAGGATCTTTGGAAGGGACGAGACGGAGGCTAATACGAGGAAGGTGGTCGGAACTTAGTAAGCCATCATCTTCTATAACAACAATAAAGATCTCTGTCTTAAATCTAAAAAAAAAAAAAAAACTCTTAACATTTGAGTTTGATCTTTTGATGTAGCGGCTACATCTCTCCTGAATATGCTATGGATGGGATATTCTCGATGAAGTCGGATGTTTTCAGCTTTGGGGTCTTGCTTCTTGAGATTATAAGTGGCAAGAGGAATACGGGATTCTACAACTTGGATCGTGACCTTAATCTTCTCGGTTGTGTAAGCTTCAAACCTCGAATTTGATCTTGTTTTCGCATTTAAAATCTGATGATAACACTAAATAAAAAGATTCGATCTTCATGCACAGGTGTGGAGGTATTGGAAAAAAGGAAAAGGGCTAGATATCGTAGATCCAATCATCATAGATTCTTCACCATCAAACTTCCGGCCACATGAAGCCTTAAGATGCATACAAATTGGTCTCTTGTGTGTTCAAGAACGTGCAGAAGACAGACCAACAATGTCCTCGGTGATGCTGATGCTTGGAAGCGAGACAACGCCTATTCGTCAGCCTAAAGCGCCCGGTTATTGCGTTGGGAGAAGTCCTTTTGACACTGATTCGTCTTCGAGTAAACAGCGCAACGATGAATCAGTGAACCAAATCACTGTCTCGATTATTGACCCTCGGTAATTCGAAAGTTACCAAGCCGATCTGTTTGTATGCAATTTTTTTCTTTGCTAAATACATTTGAGTCTCTAGCAAAGGTTTACTACTCTAACCAAAAAAAAGAAGAAAAAAAGAGAGCAAAGGTTTACTATTTTATTCGATTTTTCATTTTTAAGAGAATGTTAAATTTATTCAAACTGACAGAAAACAATTTTACATAGAGACAGAGTGCAACAGCTGTTAGGGACCAGTTTGAACTGTTACAAAAGACTAGTATGATACAATCTATGAGGATCCACAAGCCCCAAACCAAATGACGGGCCCCTCTTTGTATCTTGTATCCCGTCTTTGAATTGATGATAGTCTATTACGGTATGGCCTTATCAATGAGTTGGAACAACCGCTGAGAAGGTGAATGAGATCACCATGTCGTCTATTGTTCCGCTCCCGCCAAATGTAGGAGATGGCTATGTTGAAGACATACCGTGGTAGAAACTTTGTTTCTGTAAAAAGGAAACTTCGATTCTGTAGTTGTTTACTTACAAAAGTTTTTGGTCCTATACGTACGTGGTAAAAGAGTCCTGAAATTAGCGAGTTGATATCAAAGCAGTCCTTTAGGGATGCATATTCGGACAGAACTTCCAATTCCATGTTTTTTTTTTGTTTTTGTAATTATTATTATATATATCTCAAAACATATTATTTTCTTGTAAAAAATAAAATCGTGTTACATAAACCAATGTAAGTATATTTCCGAATTTAATGGTTATAATACGTCGTATTTCCTGTGAACGTTAGTTCTTCTATTTTTCCCTTGAACCTAGAAACCCTAATCCATTGACGAGAAGCAGTTTCCAATGGAAACACCAACCAGCAACACACATCTTCCAGTGGAAATATCAATAGAGATTCTAGCGAGGTTACCACTGAGAAGCATCTCCAGATTCAAATCTGTTTGCAAAATTCTAGCGGGGACCATATTTTTATCAAGTCTCTGTGGAAGACTCTAATCGTGGTGAAGATATACAATTCCTCTAAAATACCATTGATAATATCAAATCTTTTTTGCCAATTTAGTTCACAGCTTCGGGTTCTGTCTACAAATCGATAAAAAAACCAAATCGGCATAACTTAATTCTAATGACATTCAATTGTATTCTACAGCTAGCTTCTAAAGAGTGAGACACTAACCAAAGAGATGACGATCGAGGCTTGAATTTTCCAAGTACTCATATATGTTGGATAATTCCAAGACTTGAGGAGCAAGCTATCTCAAGGACAAGAAGGTTCTAGAGATATAGAGAATTAGAAATAGGAATCACAAATAAGGAAATTGTCTAAATAAGGTTTGTGTAATCCTCCTTTTTGTAAGCAATATAATTGTCTAAATAAGGTTCATATAGCAATATATTCTCCTTTTTGTAAGCACAACAACCAAATATGCGGACAAGGTTTTTGTGTTGAAGCCTGGAAATGATCTTTACCTCGACCATGAACTCATCATTTCCTTGACCAATTCTATATAAGCGAGCAAAACAAATCAAAATTGACTATTACTGTATTCGTGATACGGTTCAAGAGAGTCTTATTACCATTGTCTATGTTGATACTCAATAAAAACTTAGGGGACCATGTATAGTTAAAACTTAGCAGAATCTCGTTTTGATGTTTTACTAATACACTGTTCCGCAAGTTGTTATGATGATAAAAAATCTATATAATAGCAAACTCAGTTTTGATTTGCTGAGGTCGTCGTTTTTTTTTATGATTTTGAAATCATGGATAGGATCTTCTTTTCGTTACGTCATCCATTTATTAAAATCAAGAGTGTCTCTTTTGCTTATTTTCCCAAATCAACGCTTCTCTAAAACCACAACTTTCTTTAGAGTCGCATCTTTTAACAAATTTATAAAGAGTGATCCGTTTCTTGTTAAGTTCTATATAGATAGTGATGATCGTTAATTTTGGAAGGCAATATTCCTGAGGAAATATCAATAGCTTTCATGTCATCAATCTTGAAGTTAAAGGTGAACAAATGGTGAGAACCACACTGATCTTTTCTTACAACTAAAGAGGCAATACAATTTAAAAGGATGGTCATAAAGAATACTTGGTCATGGCTCGAGGAAAGAAAGACGGATCGCTATACGTGACACAAGCTAAGCTTTGCAAGGAGGAGGTAAACGTCACGAATGCTGACATAGAGTTATGGCACCGAAGGCTCGGACATATGAGCGAGAAGGGTCTAAATATCCTCGCTCGAAAGAAATCCCTCCTTGATATGAGAGGTGTGTCTCTTGAACCATGTTCT